TATCGATCGACGTCGATCGGCAATTAATCGACGTGGAGGAGGACGCGTTATTGTTGACGCAAATGCAGAAGACTCTGTATGTGACTGCTTTTTAAGGCCTAAGATCGCTAATATCACCTAGACGACATTTTAAATAGGGGTCGATAGAATGGAGCGGGTTCTCGAATAATCAAGCAGCTCGATCGATGCCATCAATCTACGATCGATTGATTGGTGTGGTAACACCCTAACTGCCTAGTGTAAGTACTTTGTACAGAGTCATATTACGTTATTCAAAAGTACATGTTATTTTATGGATATATTCATGTAATTGTTCTCAAAACGGTTGTAGTTCGTAAAGTATCTTGTCTTATTTTATTATCAAAATCCTTAATTAAACTTGCATTAGCTTGGCTTAGTAGCCAATCTCCCTGAATATATATTCAATTTACCTAATGGAATAGCTATTGTCTATTATAAATGGAAACCGAGGCTCAATTGCGTTAAATGCTATACAGTACAGGTTTCAATTACTTGTTACTGTTTTCCTTTTAAAAACATGATTAAAAGTGAATAAAGATGTTTTCTTGGCTAGTTTCGACGAATAGGATACTATCTGATAACATAGGCGCTTATTTTGATTTTAATAACTGAATTATTTTTTGTTATATCGTATTCTTCGAAATAAATACGTATAATAATATTATAAAGAACCGCTAGTTGTTTACCATGCAGGATATCTTACAGTTTCGAAAATATTGACGTTAGGACTTTCGCATACACGATATAATTATAATATATATTATATATATATATATATTGTGTGTCACGGCGAGGTAGCGCGGTACCAAAGACTGCCTTCATGACTGCGGGGTTAAAACCCGCACGGCACGAGTATATGGCCGGCCTACAAGTAATTGTTCCGAGTTTGGATGTTTGTCCGTGACAAATTTATGTATGTAAAACGTCCCCATGAAACGAGAGAATATCAATAAATTCGCACAATCCACTCTGACCTAAAAACCCGTATTTAAATTAGTTCGCTAGAATTGGTTTCGCCTGGAATTCAAACCCAGTCATTACGACACTACGCCAAATACTTCCCTCTTAAGTTGCGTATGCTTACATAATCAAACACGTATCGTTATGTATTTTTCTACATATTAATCATTGCTAAAAGTTATACGTAAAATGAATTTTCATAGATTATTAATAACAAAGTTGTTGTCATTCTATGACTGATATTGAAAAACTGGTGACAATCCCTATAAACTATAGGGAACATGGTAAAGTTTAACAAATTACCTAACCTGTTACAATATAAATATAATGTTGAATATATATTTGAACTGAATTTACTTTTGAAATGCAAAACGCGTAGCATAACATTTTTAATCGTCTTTTGATAAATGTATCACACCTTCAATATTATTTAGTATTTTATTTTTCAAAAAAAAAAAAATAGCTATTTTAAATATTGAATTGGAATTGTGAATAATTTTGAAATAGAAAATGTGGATTGATATTTGGTCCATGTGGAGTGAGGGGCGAGATTGCGCGCGCAGTTGTACAGCGCTACGAGCGATCAGTCGCGCCCGAGCTACAGGCTACGCGTCCGCCGCTACGCCGTAGTATCGTACAATAAACTTGAAATTTTCTTACAACGACTAAGTTAATTGTGACTTGTGAGCACAAAAGAATCCAATATAGAAGCTTGAGGTATTATTATGCCTAGACTAGCATTTCAATGTTTTTTTATTTTTACTTCAATGCATTGAAATTAATATAGCTGCAATTAAATGAATAGAACTTTTGTATTAATGTGTTTTATCATTTTTTATGTTAAGTAAATTTTTTTTTAATATATAAGGCCATTCGATTTTACAATATTGTACTTGAAGAAACCTTATATTTATTTATATCAAAATCGACTGTAATTTGTAACGCGGATGGCCTCATTGCTATTATTATAATAAGGTGTCTTAATACGTGTCGATTTGCGTAACATTTATCCGACATTTTTTAAATGGAAACCTAGTAGTCTTTAGTATGTTTCATAAAATTATATGTATTAAAACGACATTCTTTAAACTTACTTCCGTACTTCAAATTTGCTTTTGTTTTGTAATTAATAGAAGTCGGCAAAAATATACTCTTTATTAAATGCAGACCGCAAAACCCGATGTAGTTAATTAGGCACCTTATTTTATTCAGGGTTGAGAGTCACGTGTCGGTTGCTAAGTATGCTCTAAGATTTGAAAACCTAACACATTGCAGCGGCAACTATATATAGACAGTAACGCTTCTTCATTGTCAGCGACACTGTTTTACGCTATATCATATCGATTGATATATTAAACAAAGACATAAGTTATTTCTTTATATCCCGTTTCTAAATGTTTTTTTATCATATATTCAACACATTACATTATTTTTCAAAACTTTTCAGTTTTTAATAATGTTTTTTTTCTATCACTTTTTCCATTTTCCGAGTATATATAAATGTGTTTTGGAGGACTATGAGTCAATTATAGTACCTTAAATTATATATCATCTAACATTAACAATTAATATAACCAAATATGTTTTCATAGTGGACACATCTGTGTGGATAATTCAAGCTGTACGCAGTAAATTTTCGGTCTAATAACGTAATACTTGAAGATTTGTAAAACGCTTAAACATTTTTGTGTTAGTTTTTATAGTTTTACTATTGTATTGCTATATCAAGTATCAGGTAAAACGCTAGTTATTGGATTTATAATATAATAGACCCTTCTACGTACATCGTTTCGTCATCATTGATCTAAATGATCTAGGATAAAGCGAAAGATAAATGATAGAGCCTCATTGAATTCGACCGATATTGCTGCTGAATGGCGAGCGATTACATAATGTTACTTACGGCTCTCGCGGACCTATCGATCCGGCCTTGTGGCACACTGCCAATATCAACTTCGTCTACTCTGTGCTGCTCTAGAAGTTGTGCACACTGATAAAACCGAGAACAGCGCTGGGTTGCTGTCTGACTTAGCATTATTCGTTACGTACTTTAATAAACATTCACAACTCCACTTCACGGCCTTAATAGATCTCTAACAAAGGCTTCCACTGCTGAAAAAAATTATTCCTATTTAAGAGATCAAAAGAGAACCTTATTGTTTTAGAGTTTGATGTTTATAAAAGTATGTTCTTTTGAAATGCCAATGTAAAAATAGTTTTGCCAAGTGATAAAAAATGTTTTTGGAAATTTTCAAGTGATTTCAACGCTGCAGATAATTTTTTGGGAACATTTTGTAATATTCAGCAGTGTAGATTAACAGTAGATTATGTGTGTACTGTCAGCCTCTGAATCTCACTCAAAATCTCAGATATCCTAGAAACGACATTGCCACAGTCGGTCTTCAACTTCAACAGTTGGCTTTTTCGGGCAGACAGATCTCTGGTAAAGATTTTGGAGCATTAACGAGTTTGAAGTTGCGTCAGTCTCGCCGCCTGGATTGTGTTACGTTGTGCTTGCCGCATTATGTTACGCTATTTACATTATTTTTAAACTTTAAATAAGAATATTTATTGAATTAATTTCATTGGGAAATAATATAGTATCAGCGTTAATTTTCAGTTGCACAGAAAATTGTTCCTTAAATGTTGTCTTTGCCTAAACTGGAAAACAGAAGATGACAAAATGTGTACCATTTTCTTTACAGATTTTACTATAGGACTATCTCATAGATGAGATGCCAGTACGTTGATAGAATAGAATAATTTTCTATTCAATCATTATTATAGTCTATTGTCCACTGCTGAACTTAGGCCTCCCCCACGGAGTGCCAAATGAGGGGATTTTACCATAGATGCCAGATTGGCAGGCGGATTAGTAACCGCAGTTTTTTATCATTTCGAGTCCTTATCAGGAAGATGCTACTGCCCATCTCCAGTTTATATGAGGTAATGGATATTCTTACACCGCAGCTATACGGTTAACAATAAGATTATAATAGTTCTTATTGTAAGTAATTTTTTACTTTTACCACTGATTCGGAAAAAAACTCCTGACAAGAACCAGTAAGAAACCCAGTATGATAGTCATGATAGCTCAGGGACTTTTATCGTAAATATCATAGTACGCGAGCAACCCGGGTTCGATCCCCGCCGAGTTCTTAAAGCTATTTTACTCGTACGTTGAAAATAGTAATATTTTCAGAATAAATTTTAACTGGCCAGTCTATTCATAAATCTTTTTTCGTGGCTTGTCGTACGTTATAATTTAGGCTGCATATTTATTTTCAAGTAGATTTTCTATATTTCGAAACAAAATATTTATAAATTGTGTATTCATAAGTAGAATTTTCAACTTTATCGTTCGGGTGAATGTAAGCTGCTTTGTCACAAGTTGACAACTCAATAATTTATACTCGTAACACGAACTTTTTATGACTTTTTGTAATTAGCATTTTTAAATCTGTAGTAGGTATTATTGTAGCTTTTAAGGAGAATTTATTATGACCTTACGGAGAAATTATAAAATTTTATACGTGGTAGATCCACGCTGCAGCTATATTATTATTGTTGCAGCACGAATGGATCGGCTCGACCAGAGAAAGACCACGTTCTCTTAGAATACCAGCGTAAAATAGCAACTTAATTCTGCTGTGATTGTAGGGTACCGGACCTGAAGACCCATTTTACTGGAAGCGAGGCAATTCATCTCAATACTCAGGGTGTATTTATTAACTGAGGATAAATTAGATGATAATTATTTTATAATATTTTTGTTGGATTTAATATTGGCATAGTTTAAACTGAGTCTTCCTTTTTTTTGGAAATGTAATATTTTGTAGTCAAAGTACCCACCACCAGTAAGTCAGCCATAGTAAAAACTTGATGAAGTTATGACATTAGTAAAAAAACACGAACTTGCGTCGTCGCTTCGCTTTGCCTGTCGCTTCCACCATAATTAACCATAATTTTTTTCTTATTTTCAGAACCAAAGAAATTGCGAGTAAGCTGAGTGTACAAACATGGCTTTCGCAGGTCTCAAAAAGCAAATCAACAAAGCAAATCAGGTAAAAACAAGTAAACTTACCCAACGATTGTTTAAAAGGAATATTTCCAAGTTTAAAAAATACAATACTATTAGAAAAATTAACCTAAAATGTTACAGAACTTACATTCTGACCAAATTGCCCTCTATAAATTATATCATTAGCTTAACGTTAACTGGGTTAAAGAAACGATGGCGATGTAATTTAAAATGTGTTAGATGAAACATAAAAAGCCATAACTTTTGCTTTTTATCCGAATTTGTTTTAATGGATAGTGTGTTGATTGTTTCAAACTGCAATGCGTAATGAAACATCCAATAAAAATATAGCTCCACTTCAACGCCTTTACCCCAAATCACACGTAAGTAATCAAACGGCGGCTACTACAGGAAGTTATGGTATATTGCCTTAAACTGAAACATCCTATTATAATAAATACGTTTGTTTTTTTAAACCAATCTTTTTTTGTTTCTAAAGTATTAAAAGTTGTATCGGTTTAGACGTTTCCATTTAAACAAATTAGTGTCGATATCTTCCGACTTTTTAATTTGAGTTTGAATATATATTTTATTAGATATTAAAACATCTTCTCCATGAATCTAATATAAATCTTATTTCATAGAATTACTTATTTTAAAGCTACCCTTACAAAACAATACATTCTAATAGTGGTAGGCGATCATAAGCTATAGGCCAAAATGGCATATGGCCACGGCTATCCTCTGAACATCACTACGAATATGTATCAAATACATTAAAATATATTACAAGTAAGTTATTTAATCAATAGGCGATAAATACTGAATATTTTCTACATAGCAATTTCAGATAAGAATATTTTCTTGTTTCATACTTTTTAGAGCGTGATTTTTCAGTAGTCGAGTTTCAGTTTTTGAACTTACGTTTCATCAGAATAAGCAATTAGACCAAAATAACGTCGCCATCTTAAGTATCCTTTTATAAATCTCATTACTGCGGCGAATTTTCTCGACTTTTAGAAAAAAGTTTAAGTTCATCTAATTTCTTTAAAATATTATTTATTTTTGAATTAACGTCAAATTAACGTCTGACTTACAGTATGCAATAGGGTTTTTTTACAACACAGTCTATCAAAAATCCACTGCTAAATAAATGCTTCCCCCATAAATTGCGTCATATAGTGTATATTTACCATAATTACTACGTTTGACAGGCGGGCGAACGTAGTTTGTTATTATTTTAAATACTAGTCTTGTACCTACTCGGTCATTATAAAGATCTCTCCGTACTAATTCATTTCGGACAGTGAACTAGTTCGTTCTATTCGGTCATCAGTACAATTAACCTGTTTAAATTGTATCTATCTGTGTGGAATGGTTATCTCAGTCAGTCACTGATTGAATCAGAGGCATTCATTGGCTTTTGTCTAAGCTAGTACTTCTTATTAGTTTGTGCTCTTGTCCTTGATTGGCTACTGACCGATTCTCGAGTTACGTTTACGTTTGGTATTGGCGTACGAAAAGAGCGTCGGTCTAACGATTAACAATCAGCATACGGAAACGTTTCTTTTAGTACAGTGCTAAGATACGTTTCTTAATCGTTCATCGTTCACAAACTACACAAGACTAGAAAGTACTGCTGCCAATCTCTTGTTCAATTTCCCTCTTATCAATATCAGATTTCACATCGTCATTACATCATTACAGCCTATCAAAAACACTGCTAAACGTAGACACACCCCATTGATTTCTTACGGGTGGGATATTTTCCATAGTTGCTACACTTTTCAGGCGTCTTGTTGGCAACCACAGTTTTTTTTAATTATGAGTTGCTATCAGCAAGATGTTGCTTCCTATTTCCTGTTCCATTTCGGTCTGTCGCCTCTTACGACACCCACGAGATGATATGAGGAAGTGGATTCTATTATGTCACTACATATCATCGTCATCATCATCATTACAGCCCTTCACAAGTCCACTGCTGATCTCAGGCCTCCCCCAAGGTATGCCACAAATCACGGTCCTGAGCCACCTGCATCCATCGACTCCCTGCATGTCTTATCAGGTCGTCACTTCATCTAGTACCTCAAAACCTGAAAACGAAATTGTACAACCAGTGCGTGTTGCCAGTGATGACATATGGAACTGAGACCTGGTTCTTCACTGCTGACCGTATGAGGGCGCTCAAAGTCACTCAACGAGCTATGGAGAGGGCTATGCTCGGGGTTTCTCTGCGTCACTACACGGCAACCTAAAATTAACGAAGAAAAATAATAGACGGAGCTCTGCGCACATTTCAAGTGACGCCACATCGTTATATTTTCTTTTGATTAACAGCACGTAGAATTCCACTGCTGAACGAACACATATGCACCTTAAACCATGCTGTTAGCTGCAAAATATTTTACGTGAGTGCGTGTTCTTACAATGAGTAGTGGAACTTGGCATTTGCTTAGTTTCGGCATCACTTGTTTTTTTTACACAGTAATAGGGCGACAATCGTACACAATCCACCTGATGGTAAGAGGAATCATTGACATCTGAATCTATCCTCAATTAAGTATCAAAGTACAGATGCGTTGTCACTCCCACCACTAAGATGAAGTGCCTCGTTTCCAGTAAAAAGGATCGCCGGTACTTTACACTTACCATACGAAACACAATAGTATTAGGTACGCTGCTATTTTACGCTGGTATTCTGTGAGAGCGTGGTCCTACCCCGATCGAGCCGACCCACGTTAAGTTAAGCTGCAACACGTAAACGTGTACGTACGCCGCATCCAGTCTATTGTTTGTTGGTCCTACACACGTTTGTTTATTGGTCCTAGACGTCATTTTGTAATATTTTTAGCCATCTTACAATTTAAATATTACTCTTTTCGTCCTCGCCTTTTTATTTTTAATTAAATTATTAGAGTTGTGACGCTCTCCTTCTTTCAGAGTATCAAAATTCCGCCTAAAATGCACAAGAACGTCGACTTAGGCCGGTTTTAGAGCTCGACCGACCGTCGGTGCGTACCATCGGTCCTGACGATACGCATAACCGATCGTCAGTTTGTAGCGTTCAGAGCTCTCCTGAGCAACTTAACTGGCCGCACTGGTACAGTCACAAATACGTACACGAAATGGACGCGTTAATTGTTTAATTGCTGCTTACTATGTTCGTAAACGTATAAGGAACCGAAGACGTAGATATCAGGTTCACCCAATCGTCGCACAAAGAGCACTTCAAGGGGAATTTACTGCTTTATATCCATTATTGCGCGAAGATGAAGAATTTTTTTTTAATTATTTTAGAATTTCAATCAAAAGTTTTGATGAATTATCAGTGAAATTACAAGACAACTTAAAACATCCGCGAGGCGTTAGGTGTCGACATATCCCATGTTTGATAAAAAGTACTTAAATCACTAAAACTACTTAATGCCTATAAAATCATACAATATTATTAAAGTTTAGGTAGGTTCGATTTTCTTGACGATGATACACGCATCCGTACGGTCGGTGTAGCTCTGAATTCGTCAATATGTTTCCATAGCGCGTCGGTCGACCGACGGTACGCATGCGGACGCGCTCGGCCGACGCGACGGTCCTCGTACGCAGTGCGTAGCTACAACTACATACGCGTGCGTATGATCGGTCGAGCACTGTAACGACTTGTGAATTTTCATATAAAAGGCAAGCGCCACCAACGTACGCACCGACGGTCGGTCGAGCTCTAAAACCGGCCTTAATGCATTTAGTCTAGCTCTGTTTTCAATCTTCATTTCGTAGACATGCATATCTAATCACGTTCAAAAAATATTTTACCTCCGTCATTTATACATCATACTTCTATTATTATTTGTTTACCATTAAAAATATACAATAAAAATTAGACTAACGTTAAACTTGATTTAGTTTAAATATTTCTTATTATGAAAAAAGATTGTTCAAAATATACCTAATACAACTTTTGCTATCGTGATTTTATGATAATATACAAGAAAAACGAAATGTTAGTAACTTATTTAGAAAATTTTTCATAGAATTTTTATTATTATAGGAGATACAACGGGGTGTTTATATTATTTTACTGTAACATTAAACAATTTTAAAAACTAATATAAAACATTATAGCTTCCTGTTGTACTCGTATCGCCGCCGTGTTGGAGCGGCTCATCGTATATTAGTGATGGAAGGATATGCATTACCCCATGTCTTTCCATGAGTATTGTATGAGACGACAAGGGGAAACAAACCAGGAGATGGGCAGTAATATATTTGTTTTAAATTAAAACCATAATATAAAACCCGTTTCGCTTATTTTAAAGTAATTAAGATACATGATATTAGTTTTAAACCTTTGGAAACGACAGAATGATGTTATTACATTGGAAACGAGGCATTCCATCTTAGTCCTCAGGGGTGACAGCGCATCAGCGTTTTGATTCTTAATCGAGCATAAATGTAGATGTCTATGGGCCACAGCATCCACTAACTATCAGGTAGACCGTGTGCTCGTTTGTCACCCTTATTCTATAAAAAAACGTTTATTACACCTATTGTTAAATGGCTGCTGCACCTCATGGATGAATGTTGCGAAATTCAAGTAAAGAATTCTAGGAGTAGATTTGTGTTGATTCAACTAAAATAATAGACACTTTTTACACATTACACTTGAATTCATAGTCGAAGGGTGAACAGTCCCCCTATATCCATCATTATCATTCGTCATTTATCCAGAGGTAGGATGTTAAATCAACCTTCTATGTCTTTCATAAAGTTACTACAGAATCACCTAACTACCACCTGAATACACTTTTATATCTATTACAGTGAAACCTGGTTAATTGGGATCTCAAGGGACTAAGGATTTTGTACCATTTATAGAGGTTTTCATTTATTCAGTTTTCCAATTAGACAGGTTTAAAATTTAGTTGTCTCATTTAAAGAGGCCCCCGCTTATAGAGGTCGAAATGTACCGTTATTCCATTTATAAAGGTGAAAATATTAATGAAAATGCGTATTTTTGGTGTTATGAATTAAATATAGGTATGTATT